CAGTGTACGATGTCACACCACTGTGCCTACGGCAGCGGATTTAATGAAAATCTGTATCATATCTTGTATTTTCAAAATTATATTTTTTCAAAAATTGGTTCCAAAATTGGTTTCCTGTGACAGTGATTCCATGAGTCCACATAGAAAACGATGGAATATGACGAAAAATGTCTAAAGATAATGAAAAAAAAACACAAAACCTCCGGTAAAAATGTAATAAATACTTTGTGCCAAAACAGTTCCTGTACTGTCTTGGACAATATTTGCTGCTTATCTCAACACAAAAATAATATCAATGATATCAATAATAACAATTAATATGTTGAACACAGCTAGGTTATAAAAGAAAATCCAATAACTTCTATTATTTACGCAATTACACATTACTAATAAAAACTATGTTTACAAATTTATCGCGTTATTTTTAGATTTATTTCCCGACTCTCCAGCATTCATCGTCACGAGATGCCCGAGAATGTCACTTTTTAAAATTATTATTTTTTATCGAACTTAGAGTTATCTTAAATTTTTGTGTTGATCTTAGTGAAATAAAACTGAAAATAACAAGATAAATCCGTTAAAATAGTTTCAATTAGTAAATAAACCTCATGGTGTATAAATGCTTTAAATGCAATAAAAGTATTTAGCATTAGGATTATAATTCCTTTATTGGAATTTTTTGTACATAAATGAACAAAAACGAAAGTTTTTGTTGTTTGTTGTTTAAATGAATTGCGCAGTTAGCTTAAAATAAACACATTTATCTAACTGTGGAATTTCAACATATTAATTATGTACAAAAATTTTGAATTTAAAAATTTATCTTGACTGCAAATATAGCAATAAAAATAAAAAGTTGATCCAAAAAAATTAGGATTATAATTTAAATTATTTCGTTACCCGGAAGATATTGAAATCCAGCAGCTCCGAAAGTTTTTGTTAACTTATCTACTAAAATTATTATTATAATTAGCTCTTGACAGATTCTGTAGTTTTTTGACAGATATTGTATCTTTTTTTAGCTACTCTTTATACTGTCTGTATTCTGTACATTGTGTTTGGTTTATAAACAAAAATGCGAATTAGGTTTAAAATAAATTCTTAAAATATTTTAACGCTGCCGTTCTTACATTTCCGCGCATGTAATAAGCCATAGAACATGCATTGATAAGCCATAGAACATTTAACAATTATTATAAATGTGTAGTATTTTAAACTAGATGCAGTCTAGCGTACGAGGAATCATTGTCCCTTAGGCATAACGGTTATGTATTTAAAAAAATTAAAGCCAAAAAATAGTTCTCTTCTTTACGTCGTTCAGCGGTACATATGTGAATAAATTCAAAAGTAACAGTTGCCAATTCTTTTCACACAATTCACCTCTCACAATAAACAACCTCGTATTTCTCATGGGGAATCATTTTCTCCCCGAGTCTTATTAGGAAATTAATCTTAAATAACGAAAAAACATTCAGATGTGTGTTTTAAAAATCATAATATTCCGTTTTGCCAACCTTTGTGTTTATTAATGTGCTGAAATATATTCATATACAAATATCTTACTATATTATGTACAAATCATGCAAAAAAAGTGTTTTAGATTTGTTAACATACTTGTTTAGCAATCTGTGACTGACAATCTGAAATCATAAATAATATTATAAAATTGATTATACGGTGCCAAAATCTATGATCTTCATTTTGTTATCGACGATAATTATATCCTTATTTGATCCTTATTTATTCTATCCATATATTCTATCCATATTGCCATGAAAACTCTTAGGTAGTCCTAGTATGGTTAAGTTGATTTTTAACCGACTTCAAAAAAGGAGGAGGTTTCTCAATACGACCGTATATATTTTTATTTATTTTATGTGTGTTCCCGGATAACTTCGTAGTTTATGAACCGATTTTGATGTTTCTTTTTGTGTCGGAAAGGAGGTACCCCAATGGTGGTACCATGATAAGGAAACCCGGATCTGATGATGGCATCCCAGAGAAATCGAGGGCCATCATTGAATGTTATAGGTATTAACAATGTGTTTAATTTTCTGATTGAAGTCGGTTTTTGTTTGTTAAAAATTATAATAAATAAATTAACAAAATCTTTCAAACCTGTGGGAATATGTTTCGTGGATTTATCTTCAAATACCACATTTGAAGATTCATCTTTGATACTGAGATTAGCACTTTCAACCAAAATTGGCCCGAGTCTTATTAATTAAATCTTAGTTTATGGTTGTATTCAAATTCTAGTCTGAGACGCAGTTTATGACATAAAAAAATGTGAAAATTATTGTCATTAGCATTAGAAACTTTGTCTCACGTTCTACCGTCCCCAGATGAAAAACAGTGAATTTTTAAAAAAAATATGAGTCATTTTCATTTCAGAAGTTCGCCATTAATTATCCAACGTCCTATGAAAAGGTTAAGTTGGCTCTAAATTACGCTTAAGTTTCGAAATTATATTGTAAGTAAGCGTAGCAGCGCCGTTAAGAAGTACGATAAATTCCGTCTCATTACTTCAATTCATATAAAATTTAGTAATTACTGTACTCCGGGGGATGCATACAGCAGAACGAAAGAACGACATCTTATTAACCTCGACTGAATTAAAATGACTTTAGGGTGGAGCGGTCTACTTAAAAGTTTAAACATTTTCAAACATAGATTTTTAGTAATTTTGAATTACAGAAGCATAGAATGTTAATTATAGGTTACATCAGTTCTTTAAAAGAGTAAGCGTACATATTGTAAAAAAATAGATTAATTTCTATATCAGTTATTGTCTGCAATCACACAGTTATTGCACATTGTGTCCTGACTTACATAATAACTCAATAATAAAATAATTTAAACAAACTTAGGAATCTAATAACGCACATTAACATACTAAATTATTTTAATTTTTTTTCAGACGTCTTCATTAACACATATGATATTCACTACATTATACGATAGAAATTTTTGTTAAATTGAAATAAGCATTCAAAAAGATCAAGAAGTTTCAGTGCTCAAGTTGTTTTTAAAACAGATGGAACACGTTAAAAGCAAAATAATATGTCAAAGTTTTGTTCCTGATTTAAAATGTCTTCAATTGTTACTTCTTAATTCTTTAATTGTTACTGAAGCAAATCAACTTTTTACACATCTAGCAGCATTTTGTAAAATGATATAAGACATTTTTATTACGTTTCATATGATACACACATAATCATTATTATAAATCGAGTACCGTGAATAAAACATAAGCGAAAATTCTTTGAAGCCAAAAAAAACTTGTAAAAGCAAATAATGAAAAGCGATTATATATTTATTCTAATCAAAAAGTAAAAACTTTTCAATCCAATCATTCAAGTCGATTGCCAAAGTTTTCAATGACAAAGCCGTTGAAATTTTGTTAAAGTAAACGATTGCTTCAGATTAGTTTTTCTATTATGATAGCATCTAAATTATATCCTATCAAAGATTGGTCAAATTGCAATAATGTTTGTTAAATATAACTACAACATTATGACAAAGAGAATAAAATAATGTAGTGACGGTCGATATATACCTTTGTTTGATTTTTTTTAAGGACACATTTTTACACCACGTTCTCTAGTCCTAAACTAAGCAAAGCTTATACTATGGGTACTAGATAACTTATAAACATACTTTTATTGTGTAAATAAATACATATTATAGATATGTAAACACCCAGACACTAGAAAAACACTATGTTCATCACACAATATTTTTCCAGTAGTGGGGATCGAACCCAAACCCTCTGGCGCAGAAGGCAGGTACACTACCCAATACGCCATTCGGGTCGTCGCTTGAGTGCACGCTCGAGTGCAAATTTGGGTTCAAATCTCGTTTTCAGGCAGCATTAAAATAGTTAATTATTAGTTCATCTACCGATTTAAGAAAATATGTGATGAGCACAAAGGCGTGCTTTAATTCCCCCTGTACTAATGTGGTTTTTGTTATCCATAAACGTTAATGCTAGCTTTTATTATCATAATTTATTGAGTTAATTATCAATTCACTTTGCATATTATTTGAAGTACCCATTAAAAATATTATATATACCACTATTATTTATGTAGTAACTATAGCAGGTAACATTATGTTCCGTACTTATCCTTTTTAGTAATTTTAATGAATTTTTCCATGTATACTAAAATTGGATCCAATCGTGGGACTAAGGAGAAATGAAACAAGATGTGTGTAAAAAGTTTTTGTACTCTAATCATCATCATCATCATTTCAGCCTGTTTGAGTCCACTGCTGAACATAGGCCTCCCCCATAGACTGCCACGAAGTACGATCCTGAGCCACCTGCATCCATCGACTTCCCGCACATTTGCACAGGTCGTCACTCCATCTAGTGGGGGGTCGTCCTACACTGCGATGGCCAGTACGAGGCTGCCACTCGTAAAAGGCGTAAAACTACTGAAAGTCTAATCCGATACCTCTTTAATTAACCATCTGACACAAATACAGCGTGTAAAGTTCCCAGTAGACGTCGCTTGCCAAATTAGCTGACTCAGGTACGAAATAAAACATCGCTTAAATAATTACCCCTCTGATATACCTCGGGGATATAATAAACCAGAACATAAATTTGACATTCATAATTCGCCATTCCATGAAACTGAAGTCAAAATTTATTTTAAATGAACTTTTTTTAGATTTCATGGTCTTGCGTTTAATTTCCAGTTTTTATAAAGTTATTAATCACTTTGTTATTGCGACCTAATATAATTTAAAGTAGATAATTCTTTATTACAATGGTATTGTTAATACTTAAGTGGTTGCTATTATACATAAGGAAAAACAATAATGAAGGAGTGTTAAAATTCTGTGATTGCGAAAACCTTATTCTTATTTGTAAAGGTCTTCATGTGGGTGTTAGGTGGAAACAAGCTTTAATGTTTTTTTCGTAAATATGTAAGGAAAAAACCAACAAAAGATACAACGAAAGACAAAACAAACATTTTGTTTTCACTTTAGTCCACCTCTTTTTTACGATATTTGTCATAAATAGACTTCCACAGCTGATAGGCTTTAGGGTTTGGTATCGGCCCCATTTTTAATTCGTCGTTTATGTATAAAAAGTTAATTTGCTCCTTATTGCTTGGAATCCATTGAACCTTGGGATCATTTGACTTTGGTGTCGGGTCTCTGTAAAAAAAAAAAAAGATCAATATCAACTGGATTTCGGTTATTCATCGGGAACGTTTCTGTAATTTGGGTTTCTTTTCTTCGTTATCTGTGGTAGGGCAGAAATTTCACTGTTGCACGGATGGATAGGTCCATCCGGGGAAGAAGAGCGACCTAACAGGAGATCACGGTGAAGTGAAAGTGTTATACTACTACATGAGGTAACTAACTGCGACCAACTTCAGTGAAATTTGGCAACGCATTTATAACCCTGCAATGGGTGTTTCAAATGCCCATGAGTGGCGGTTTTCACCTAACATCAGGTGAACCGCAAGCTCGCTTGCAAACTTCTAACATAACAAAAAACGGTGTTAGTCTTAACACAACTTACACCGTTCTTTTTTACGTTGTTTAACATCTGGGATGTTAGCAAGATCTAGACGGGCTAAGTAATAAGGAAAAAACCATGTACCCGTATTTAGCGAAATTGGTCCATAAAGTTGTCATTGTATTAATCATTTGATAATCTCTGCTGTTGATCCCAAAAGGTAGTAAAGTTGCCTTGAATAAATACATTAAATCGTCTCCGTGGCATGCACCGGTTTCATTCTTGAATCCCGAACGTTTCTTCATGAAATTCCGTTCGCCCGCATAATCGAAATAGTAATTATAGATGGTTGCATTGGAATTTTTAATCAGTAAACTGGTCTCCAAAATCGGTGGCATTTCAAAATATAGATGCGTGTATAAATCAGAAACGTTCATCAGAGCTTTCATGCTTATTCTATTCTGACCAAAGTAAAACTTCTGGACTTCCAGTGCTTCGGTAGCCGCTTCGACTTCCGACGGAAAACGTAAATCGGACGCGAACAAATAACGCCCGTTTCTCTCCGCAAGGGATTCCTCTGACTCGGCAGCAACTAAGAATAATCCTTCCTTGCTTGTTGTGCCATAAATTATTGGGACGCTCTCGGTCTTCTTTTCCAATAAGTTGTAGGGTAGATCGTTGATTACATACTCCTCACCGGGAAATGTTTTCTCAACGCAGGGTAAATGCAACAATTGTGTATCGAAGTATTTAGAGAGTGGTTTCTTCGCTTTAGCTAATATTAGTTCTTTATATGGCATCTGAGAGAATAAATTATACATTTCTAACGGATCCTCTGTATCATGACCCAAGGATTTTGCTAACAGACTAGCCACCCAAACAGGGTTTCTATTAATAGCCCAATTGGAGATAGAAGATCCGCTTTGAATGATCGCCCTATTAATGAGTCCCTTGGTGTGATTACTTGCCAATAGCAAAGAGGTAGACGTAGCACCAGCGCTCTCCCCAAATAATGTTATATTATCAGGATCACCCCCAAACGCGGCGATATTTTTCTTGACCCATCTTAGTGCAGCCAACTGATCTTTTAATCCAGCATTACCAGGCGCTTCCTTTATGTGTAAACAAATAAAACCGAGAGGGCCTAACCTATAGTTAAATGTTACCAGTATAACATCTTTCTTAACTAAGAAATCAGGACCATACATTAGTTTCCCTCCACCACCCACGATGAACGCTCCACCGTGAATGTAAATCATTACTGGTAGGGGTCTTTTGGCCATCGCGGGAACATAGACATTAACCTTTAGACAGTCTTCAGAGCCTAGAACACCTATGGGTGTCACTTGGGGGCAAAAATGTATCTCATCCACTGCTTTGAGAACGCCACTCCATGACGGCGCTGGACCTGGAGCCTGAAAGATATAAAAAGGATCTCAGCAATTTTTATGTAACGGAAAACAATGTACGCTGGATAGTAGTTATAAATGTAAAATTATATCTAGATAATTTCGAGAAAGTCATAAAATAATTATAGATCATTTCGTTTCGTCGTATTCTTAATTTCTTCCTAAGAAGAATATTTATATCAGAAGAATACAAAAAAAGAACAGGAGAATACAAAAATGTCAACCCATATATAAGAGCGTGAAATACCGGTTTACACTTAAATGAAAAATTTTGCAAGGCAATTAAACAAACGCTTTTGTTTATTTATTGATATTTATAATCATATTATAGTAAATTTCTAAACGAGAAAGAATCAATTTAAAAACGATGTAAAATGTAAATTAATGCCCATGGGCATCTACGAAGTACCACCCATGCCTGACTCTTAAGAACTTACGCCTTAGATTACCAGACTTTGAGAGATAACTGATAGAGGAGAAGCACAAGATAAAAGTATAAACACATTTACTTTATACTGTTTTCAAATATAGTATATAAATAGTAAAATTCCGTCTAATTTTCCACAACCTTTTCTATGAACAATCCTTAATTTCGTAGTTAAAATGTTCACATAAATCTTTTCTTTAAAAATAATGGCCTTACCACGGAACAACAGAATGATTTATTCAAAGTAAATAATTTGCTAAATATACTATAAATGTTATATGTAGTGAGTGTTTATTATAATGGATGTGACGTCAAACTTTCAATTTAAGGTCACGGGTTCAAATCAATGATTCCTTTTGAGTGATAACGACTGCGTCCGAATCAATTATCACGTTATACACACAATAAGCTTGGCAAAACAAGTTTGGAATTTGTTACATCTGTCTATTCTCTGAGGGTCAATGGTAAGACCTTGTAATCTAGTGCGGCATCGAGTGACCCAGTTCAAAATTACATAATCACTGACAGACACGCAGAAGTTGCGAATACTGACCTCGAACGTCACATGATACGCCGGTGTTAAAAATAGTGTTAAAGTTATTTCTTAATTACGTGAATGGCAATGCTGCTTTATTAAAAATAAAATGAACCAGTAAATTACGCAATTTACTGGTTAATTTTCACGCAACAACAACGACGCCATGGGTCATGTGTTGAGTTTTCTTTTTCTGGCAATTAATCGTAGGTATTTTATTCGTGTGTAGAGAATCGTAGGTATTTTAAACAAAGCTTGAGTTACTACTTAAGCTTTGCTTTAAAGCAAGCAACATTACTATATAAAATTTTCTTCAAAATACCGATCTAAAAATTTACAAGTAAGAGTATTATCTGGTATCCATTTACCCCGAAGCTAAGGAATGAAAATACAATAAATTGTTTATCAGACAAAATACATTAACGTAATATCACTTTAACTAACTTTAGCGAAACCAGACATACAGACAAGAACATCTTATCTCTTACTTTCATGTTAACAGTCACAAAATTTTACTTATCATCAAAATGCTCATAACAAATATAAGTTTACTTTATATCAATTTATCAGCAAGAAGTAAGATAAGAGTGTACGATAGTTTGTTTACGCAACGATAACGGAACATATTTTATCGTTCGAAATAAATATTTTAATGAATACAATATTTGCGCGTTTTCCTAGTTGTATGTGCATACACAAAACTTGTAAAGTATTTAAATTGAATAACATTATCATAGTAATTAGCTTTTTTATAGGTATTTGTAATAACCTAACGACGACCTCACAGAAGACCGGCGTGAAGTGGAATTGTAATACTTTCATCTGGTGAGTGAGGCAGCCGGAGAAAATGTTCAAAAAGGTTTGTCAACGCATCTGCAAACTCTAGGTTGTAGCAGATGTCCATGGGCAGCGATATTCACTTAACATCAGGTGTACCGCATGCTCGCTTGAAATGCAACATCTCACATAAAAAAAAACAAAAGGATAAAATCCCAATCTCGAATCAGAAACGGAACGCATAATAGAAAAAAATACCTGGAAACGTGTACTACTGTTCGTAGTGGCGTAAGGGATACCGATGTATTCGAAATACTTCCCATCGGTGCTTATTTTACCGCTCAATATCCCTTGCTCGATGGTCACCTCTGGTGTATATTGGTCGATTAGATTAGCCGCGAACAGGGTAAACAATATTAAGTTAGTCCTACGCTTCATTTTCACACGCGCGCACCGTCTCCTATCTCAATCGCTAGTTAATTGTATCAGTTATATGCCTTAACTTTCGTGCGAAGCGAAACGAGCATGGCAAAAACATTTCCTTAGTAACAACAACACGCGTCCGTTGCGCAGGCGTTTTGGCCTTCAACTGATATATCAACGTAATGGACATTAACGGATACCGCTTACTCACTATTATAGCTCTTTGCGTGACGTGCGTTTTGACGGTCACTATCAAATTCATTTCCCTTGAACTCTTTTGGCACTTTGTTATAAAGCAGTCGTTAACTATTTATTGGGATTTTAGGTGGTATTGCATAGTCGGCTTTTGTAGAGAGTTTTTGCTTATTGATTTTTTTGTTACTAAATTGGTTTATAAATTCGTTGTCGGCCTGTCAGGAAAGAATATGTTCTCTTCTTAAAGGTTCCCGGTTTGTAACGGAGGGGAAAATCCAACGACAGCTAGATTAACAGAGTCGTTGTGCGAGGCAGAAAACATCTTAATTGCTTAATAATGAATGTTGAGTCCTGTGCTGTTGTGAACCCTAGACACAAATGCACTTTTTATTAATAACATTATAAAATGATTATATATTATGCACCGTGATAGCTAAGTGTTCGAGGTTGCTTTTGAATAAAATACTCGATCAACGGTATGAATCCTGATGCCGAGATCAATGAAGTCTTAATAAATAAAAACGAATGTTGGTAAGCGCATAACTCAAGAATGGCTGGACCAATTCGGCAATTTTTTTTTTGTATGTTCTTTGAGGTCTACGGAAGGTTTTAATACAATACACATAAATATAACAATTCTACTCTACTCTACACCGGTCTTCTGTGAAGTCGTGGTACTTCCCCAGACGGATCTGCCCATTCATGCTACGTGGCCGTGCCGCGTGACCCTAGAAAATTATAAAAAAAATTAAATAACATAACATCAAAACATGTCCTATCTTTACAAGCTGCCTTCTCATTTTGTCCCAAACCCTTAATTTATTTGAATAAATTACGCTCCAGACAAAAACTGTCAAATTTTAACCCGAAGCCCTACGTGACTGCCTCCAAAAGGACTGTTGTAGAATTCTAATTAATTGTTTCTTTTATACACATAATTAAGGCTAGCGGGAGTAATATTAGCTCTTCGTGGTTACAAATTGAATATGTTTTTTACATCTCCCAATAACATTTACTCCAGATTTTAAGCTCTTACCTTTCTTATCACTATAGTTTAAAACAAAGTCGTCTTGCTGTGTGCCTGTCCCTATGTATGGTTAGATCTTTAAGACGTACGCAACGGATCTTGGTGCGGTTTTTTTTTACTAGATAGAGTGAGTCAAGAGGAAGGTTTATATGTATAAATACATTGCACCCGTGCGAAGCCGATGCGGGTCGCTAGTTTATAATATATCACTTACCATATGGAGTCATATCAAAGTCGTACATTCTACATCTACATTCCGTTATAGGCGTGTGCCACGGAGATCTAAGTTTGTTTTCAAAACATTTAAAAATCACTTAATAATAATCATCATCATAATTTAGGTCTGTTTAAGTCCACTGTTGAACATAAGCCTCCCACACAGACCGCCACAAAGCACGGTCCTTAAGGCAGGTTTATGCCATAGTTGCCACGCCTGGCAAACGGGTGCCAGCCGCAGTTCTTTCAGACAATCCGCACCTTTTACGTTGTTGTCCGTTATTGGCCTGGGTATCTAGGGTCTGGAGAGTCAAGATGGTTATTCCGCCATTTGACGGAGGCCTGGACGGATATTTGCAGCTTATCCTATACTTGGCTCTTACGACACTCGCGGGATGAGATGGTGTAGCATATTCTTACGCCGGCACCACACGGTGCATAGTAATAATAGTTTATTTTATTTACTTCCATATAAAATTTTTACATAAAAATTTAATAATTTAAATATAACTTTCAACTTTATAAAAAAGGGCACAGAAATGATCACATAAGAGAGTATTTCTAAATTTTATTGTATACAGATAACGCATAATTCTTAAGAAAGGCGTTATATACATCGACACATAAGAAAGTAATAATATAGCGTCAGTTGCTCCAACATTCTCGACTATTGGGCAGCTGATTACTCGTGATAAGCGAAACGGCCGGTATTGACATGTTAATACAAACTCGACTATCATAAGCAAACCGAATGATATTTACCGGCCTCTCGTCACTTGTAAAACAGTAAACAGATTAAACGTTAATATGGAGTTGGAAGGTGGACATGCTTTGTTTACCTCATAAAGTAATGTTTGAATATGAACAATATTAAAGTTCATTTGTACTTATACTCTATCTCTTTATAAAATATATCAATTTTGAAATGGCTGGCTAGTTACTGCCACCTGTGCAAACCTGTCCCGGGTTTCTAGGTGCTAAAAACCCATCCGATCTTGTCGTGGCGTTGGTCTTAGTAGCTGCGGCTTGGCCCACCGCGAAGCCTAGATTGAGCCTGTGTTGAAAGGCTGCTCCACTTGGGTTCATCAAGCCCACTTGTGATACACGCCAGGAGAGTGAGGGCACAGGTTTAGAGTGGGAGAGGCACTCTCCCTGTTTTCTACTCTGAATATGGAGTCGTGGGAGAAGAGCGTTGTTGAGGGAGGGTTCTCCCTACCCGGGTAGAACACCAAGGAAACTACATACCAGGTCGGCCCTGGGTGCCGAGATGCTTGTTGCAGTGGACAAGTGGTGGTGCAGCTCCTGTGACAATTGGGCAGCGGGCTCACAAATGAGGCCGAGTAAGTAGAGAGGCGCGTTTGATGTACCAGCACACCCTATAAGGAGGAGGGAGCTTTTCTCGTTGGAGGGGCTGCTGAGGTGACCAATGCTGGCAGGATTGCGTGAATATACGAAAGCGTCCCCATGTTCCTGTTAATATGGTAACACCGTGATGGTTTTAGTCGGTCGAGCCCCGGGAAATATGGAGGGTATGCGTAGACATTTTTACCACGTCAACAAAAAAACTGTTTTAAAAAGAAATAGTGTACAGATTTCTTCGCATTTCGTACACTTTAGAGAGCATCCGGCGACTGGAAATGTCCTTGACGTTTCTATGGTTTATATTTAAAGGCAAGACCTTATTCATCACGACAAAGAGAATTTGCCAGTCTCGCTCCGCGTCCAGATATATAAACCTATTACAAAGCAAAATGACCAACGGCGAAACCCTGGTACCGTATAAAGAATCCATTAGTAATATTGCCTAATGGACGTCGTTTATAAATAATTGAATTACTAACAATGTTACGTTTATATGATGTTCGATAAAATATTATTTTATCGAAGAAAATCCATTAAGTAGCTAAACAGTAATCCTTGGTATTTTAGGTGGATTATGTTGTGTTCATAGTTCTGTGTTATAAAAAAAGATATTGTGAAGTTGATCTTGATTGGATGTTTTTCGTGACAATCCTCAAGACTGTGTAAAGCTTCTGTAGGTAACAAATTTAATTAAAAACAATTTAGGATTGATAATACTACATTGTGCAATACTAATCTTATCCTTTAAACGAGCAATTATTGTATATATATATATATATATATATATATATATATATATATATATATATATATATATATATATATATATATATAAAATATAATCGGAATCTCGGAAACGGCTCCAGCGATTTTCATGAAATTTAGTATGTATAGATTTGGGGGCGAAAAATCGATCTAGCTAGTTTTCATTTTTAGAAAATGTCCTTTCATCCCTGTTTTCAGGGAAGGAAAAATATAATTCGAATATGACGGTAAATTTCGCCGCAAGAGAAAATGTCATAATAGCTCGGTCGGTAATCGGGCGGCCCCAAAACAGACGGCCGTGGTTCGCGCCACGATCATCTACACATTTATTTTTTTACTTTTTTTTCGATTCAAGATCATTGCTTTCTTTATTTTTAATTTTTTGTCATTTGTTATTTTGTCATTTTTTCCCCTTTTTTTTAAAGTTCTTTCTTTTGTGAAAAACATCTGTTCATATTTTCTTATTATTACGTCGGTAAGATTGAAAAATATCATGCATATTTCATTACTCAGTAATTTGTATCTAAATGTAATTTCCAAAATACACGTTTTACCAATAAAAAAACAAACCGAGCAAAGCTCGGTCCTCCGGGTACTATCATTTAAACGCAGAGCTGGCAAAGGTTTTGCTAATTTATTGACTATCTGCTCTACTCAAAACGAATAATCAACAAAAATAAAATGCTATTTGAATTTACATCGGCAAGTATGACCCACATTATGCTTTACTAACTTCAAGTTACCATTCCTTTTTTTCTTTAGTCACTTATAGATGCAAAAGCGGTGAATTCTGCTGAGAGAGGTAGAGGCGAGCCCTTGAATTGATTTGCCGCCGAGTCATTTACATCGCAGACGGAGGAGCGAAGTCAGCTATTACCAAAGACTCAAAAACTAATCCTCAAAGTGCTAAGAACTAAGTGGTCTTCGGTCTCTGGAGCTAGGAAATCAGTGGAACGGGTTTTTTTTTTAATAACTTAAACAGTTTATATTATGCGGTATGTGCGGCGTATCGTGCGGTATATATTATAATATAACAAATGCAGAATTGAACTCAATAATACCATATTCAAATGCATAGATACATTTGTATGTAAAAGTCTAGATATTTTATTAAGTGTGGGCAGATGATTTAAAGCTCATGCTAATTAATAAATGAAGTATTGTAATAAATTGGAGTTGGGTATTTAAAACGAACAATTACCGATTAGTTCTTTTACCAATTAGCATAAACTGTGTAATATAACATAAAAATATGTGGATTTAAAAAAAGTAATTTGTTTTATTGCTTTAAAAAGCGCATTTATTTTTTCTAACGGAAATCGGTTTAAATCTTATATAAATAAAGCAACCTTCGTTACAGAGCCCGTCTCTTCTCTATAGACCCTCGATTGAAGTTTAGTCGGATAGGCTTTCAGTGCTTATGCTAACTTCACCATTGCCCATAGAATTC